CGTATGAGGAGTGAGGGGGTGAAGTATATGGCAAAAACAGGTATGACATGACGTCAGGTGACCATTCGCGTTCTAATGTAGGGTGCCACCAGCTCACATTCTTTTCGAGTATCAGATAAAAATCGACGGACTTTATATGTCCCAAATTTGTGGCTAGAAATCGTCTGGAGCAACATATTCTTGGAATCATAATAATTAGTGATTTGGAGGGTCAAATCAACTGTTATCCCTACTGAGATACTCGAACAATGTCACTGCTTACTAGTTTTACTTGGATATTTTCAATTGAAACCCTTAGACCTCCTAGGAAAAAACTTTCCCCCAACATAGTTGCGTATTTGTGCAATGCCGTTTCATAATGACATATGGATGCACATTCAATCTAACACTATTCTACATATCAGTATCTATTCGGTCGCCAAACGCAACGGTTCGATTTTGCAGTACACACAAACGTGCCACAAAAGTAAACAAAGTCGCGAATTTATTTTTGTTTAACAGTCGCGCGTTATAAATAAAGTGGGCCAAGTTCATTTAAACAATGTCAGTTGGTAATATTATATTATGTTTGGAAAGAAAAAAAGTGTTACGTCGTCACCTGTAAAGCTTGTTTTCGAAATAAAAAGAAATCCTCCAAAAAATCCAAAAATGCCAAACGCCTCATTGTTTGAGGAGAGCCATGTTAGAACACCAAATGAAGATACTTTATACAGCGAATAGAAAAAATCGCAAATCGAGAAAAATTCACTTAGTACTCAAGTGGATTATCTCCAGAGCCAACTGGAAACTATGCAAAAAAAGTTTGCCGATCTAGAGACAAAAGTTAACCAAAAAAAAGAGTCCAACATGGACTACCAAACCGACGAAGACGAGTTAGCAAAAGAAACTGAGTGGATCAGACAAAAGGGAAAAGGCTGGAAAAAACGTCGAATGGATACTTCGCTAACACCACCACAAAAAAACGCTGGCTCGGACACTACTGGAGAATCCTCCAAGGCTAAAAAGGTGCCATTACCCCCACCGATTATGGTTAATGGCGTTAATAACTTTAAGGATATTTACGATAAGTTAAATATCATACAAGGAGTCCAAATAAAAGTTTTGAATAACGAAAATATCAAAATAAACGTTCAGGATGCAGACAGCTACAGGCTGGTCACCAAAATGCTAAATGAAATAAAGCTTCAATGGCATTCATATGAAAACAAACAAGAAAGGCCAATTAGAGTAATTGCCAACAGGTTACACTTTTCCTGTGATCCAGAAAAAATTGTAGCTGACCTTAAAAATAAAGGGTTCAAGGCCCTAGAAGCCTCCAACAAACTTAAGTGGAGAACAAAACAACCACTAAACATGTTTATGATAACATTTAGCCATGAAGAAGACATCAACAAAATTTTCGAAATTCCCAAAATACTTGGAACTCAAGTGGAAATGAAAGCACTAAAAACTTCCAAATTAGTCCCTCAATGCAAAAAATGTCAATCTTATGGACATACTCAAAAATATTGCGCTAAAGAACCACGATGTGTGAGATGTACAGGAAAACATCTCACTGTAGACTGTTCGAAACCAAAAGATTCTGAGCCAAAATGCGTCCACTGCGGCGACAAACACCCAGCTAACTATAGGGGGTGCATTGTAGCTAAAGAAATACAAAAATTAAGGAATAACCCGAAAAGGCCAACTCCCACACCACAAGCAAGCACAAATGGTCACAGCCAACAACCAAGAAACGCAGCTACGCAAAACTCTGCGACAAGGACTTACAGCCAAGCAGTAGCATCAGCTCCTGCCACTGTTAGTGGCAACTCTATTAACCAAAGCACTATGGAACAAACATTGCAATTGATTTTGGAAAAATTAAACAAACTTGATGAGCGATTAACTAAACTGGAAAATAGCAATAATGGCGCTATCATCAATCGTCAAAATGGTCAGTAACCTTAGAATTTTAGCTTGGAATGCCAATGGGCTCTTGCAGCATCAGCAAGAGTTGCAAGTTATACTAGATATACAAAAGATTGACATTTGCCTCATATCAGAAACGCATTTCACAAATCAATCCTATATTAAATTTAAAGGATATAAAGTGTATCACACAATTCATCCTAGCAATACAGCACATGGAGGAAGCGCTGTCATAATTAAAGAAAACATATCTCACATTGAAGAGACGGAATACAAAACAATTGAAATTCAAGCTACAGCAGTAAGTGTAAAAACCAAAACATATACACTAACCATATCTGCTGCCTATATACCACCAAGGCATTTATTGAAGAAAAATCAATATCTCAATTTTCTTAGAAAGTTGGGAAATCGATTCATAGTTGGGGGTGACTTTAATGCAAAAAATACCTACTGGGGTTCCAGACTAACCAATTCCAAGGGGAAGGAACTTCTGCAAGCTATTAATGAATATCAATGCCAGCCCCTATCCACAGGTAGGCCAACATATTATCCAACCGATCCTGGAAAAATTCCCGATCTAATCGATTTTTTCGTAATAAAAAATATTCTCCAAATTTTCTGGAGATAGAAGAAAGTTATGATTTACACTCAGATCACTCACCTATTATCCTAACTCTGAGTGAATATATAATTAAGAAAAAAGCACCTATCTCATTAGTTAATAAACTGACGAACTGGGCTAGTTTTAAACAAAGTCTGTCGGAAAAGAAAAACTTATCAGTACCGTTGCGAATGCCACAACAAATTGATGAAGAAGTCGATTGTTTTATCGTTAATATTCAACAAGCAGCTTGGGAAAACAGTCCCAAATTAAAAAGAATTTTTAAGGGAAAAAACTACCCAAAAGAAATTAGAGATCTTATTATAGAAAAAAGGAAACTAAGAAGAAAATGGCAGCAAAGTCGAGATCCCCATGACAAAACAATTATCAACAATATGACGCAGCGCATAAGGCGAGAAATTCAAGAAATCAAAAATGACTCTATTAACAATTACCTAAGTGAACTCACCGGCGACAAAAGCACTGATTATTCTCTTTGGAAAGCAACTAAACGCCTTAAAAGACCAGTTACCCAAATTCCACCCATAAGAAAGTCAAATCAGCAATGGGCAAGGAGTAACGAAGAAAAAGTAGAACTTTTTGCAAGTCATTTAGAAAAGACATTCCAGCCTAACGAAGCACAGGATGAAAATCTTCCCTGGAACGAACCTTATCAAGAAGAAGGCAACATTAAGCCTACTTCACTAAGAGAAATATTAACAGAGATCAAACAAAATATCAGTCCGAAAAAAGCTCCAGGATATGACCTAATTACTGGGGAAGTAATAAAACAACTCCCCAGGAAAGCTATTGTGAAATTATGCAACCTTTTCAATGCGTCCTTTAGGCTTAAATACGTACCTAAACTTTGGAAAGTTGCAGAAGTAATCATGATACCAAAACCCGGAAAACCACCTCATGATGTGTCATCTTATAGGCCAATATCATTATTGCCCGTTTTATCTAAGCTTTATGAAAAGATACTGCTAAAAAGAATAAAACCGATCATAGAAAGACAGGAAATCATTCCAACTCATCAATTTGGGTTAGTTTGGGTTAGCACTCTACGATCGACCAAGTACACAGAATAACGAATTTAATAGAAAAATCGCTGGAAGAGGGAAAAGTCTGTTCCGCAGTTTTCCTCGATGTAGCGCAAGCATTTGACAAAGTTTGGCATGAAGGCTTAAACTATAAACTAAAGCTGTTTCTGCCAAAACAATATTCTGATATTTTGGAATCATATATGTGTGATAGACATTTCAGAGTCAAACAGGAAGATTTTGAGTCAAATTTACGAAAAATAAAAGCAGGTGTACCTCAGGATAGCGTGCTAGGTCCCTACTTATATTTATTATTTACATGCGACATCCCAAAACCAGAAAATTGTCATTTAGCAACATTCGCCGACGATACTGGTTTAACTACAGTGGAAAAAAGTATTGAACAATCAACAGAAAAACTGCAGAACGCTGTCAGTGAAGTTCAAAATTGGACCAAAAAATGGCGAATAAAATTGAATGAAACCAAATCAATTCACGCTGATTTTACAAACAAAAACGTAAATCACATACAAATCACAATTAATGACACCCCTATACCATATTCAAATCAAGCTAAATATCTTGGTATGACGCTTGATGCGAAATTGCGCTGGAAAGCACATGTTAAGAAAAAAAGGCAAGAGCTTGAATTTAAGTATAGAAAAATGTACTGGTTAATTGGAAGGACGTCCAATTTAACCATACATAACAAGTTACTACTTTATAGGCAAATACTGAAACCAGTATGGGCATATGGAATTCAACTTTGGGGTTGCACTAAAGATAGTAACATACAAGTTATTCAAAGATTCCAAAATAAAGTACTAAGAAACATTGTTAATGCACCTTGGTACGTTCGAAATAGTGATCTACATCGGGAACTAGGAATTGATACTGTAACAGAGACTATAAGAAAGTACGCAAAAAGCCATGAAGATAGACTACATCGGCATGTGAATGTGGAAGTGATTGAGCTCCTAGACAATACTGAGCTAGTTAGAAGACTGAGAAGGGTGAAGCCGTTCGAGCTAGTGAACTGAAATTGAAAAACACAACAAAACAGTGCTATAAACACATCAAAATTGTGATTTACAGTTTAAGCAAAGTGGGGAAAACTGTTGAGTGAACCTCAAGAATTGTAAACTTTATAGTAAATTAGGTTAAAACAAAATTGCTAATTAGTCTTACTGACTAGATTGTAATGTAATAAACACAATGTGTTTGACAAATAAAAAAAAAAAAAAAAAAAAACTATTCTACATTTAATACATAGTCTCATTGGTGTGAAAACTGCTTTCTTTCGTAAGATGATAATTAATAGTGAAAGTTCTAATAGGTGAAAAACACCAGAAATAAGCATGAAAACTGACAAATATAAAATAATCTAAACCCAAGAATCATGCAAAAGGCTTTGGTACTGTTTATTACAAAAATTGCATTACCAGATCCATCTTCTTCATCCTCCTCACTTTCACTTGAGCTTGGATTACTGTCAAACTCTTCAGCCACATCACTATCGCGCTTTTTGGCTGCTTCTGGATCGAAATCTTCATCCGTACTTTCATCATCATCATCATCGTCGTCGTCGTCTCTTTCTTGAGCTATAAAACATTATAAAAACATTAATATGAAAAAATCCTTGAATGTCAATACCAACAAACCTTCAGCTTTAACACGTTCAAGATAGGCATCTGGGGCAGCCTCATCATCAGAATCTCCAAAGTCATCTTTGTAGGATGCTTTATCCTAAAAAGAAACAGTTTCACAAAAATCATAATGAATAAATTTATTATTTCTATTACTATATGCAGCCAAATCTAATGGAATTAAAGTAACAAACTATTACCTTCAACTTATCCGTGAGACATTAAATTGAATACATATTAATGCAGAAAAATATATAAAAGCATGAATCTACTTACACTCTTTCCTCTATTCTTAATATTAAGTTTCTTTGACGTAATGAAGTCGAACAACTTAGAATATTCTTCTTTTTCAATGCTACTGAATGTATGAACAGTTCCAGATTTGAGTTCGATTTCAAAATCAAAAGATCTGGTACTGCCTCCTCCTCTTGCAAAGTTGACCGATGCTATTTCTTCGAAACGAATATGAAGTGGTGGTTTATGGACGTAAATGAAGCCTCTTTCTAGAGGATATAAGAATCCTGCAGCTGCTTTGAAGGAACAACCTATTGCAGCTGTACCAGAGTGTCTAAAAGAACATCATCATTTAAATAGTCTGTTATCTTCAAATTGTTCTTATTATTGTTGTACTAAGCTTTTTGTTGATTATATAAATTCCTCACCCAATAAAAGCACCAGGTCCAGTAAGTTTCCGTCCAATAATATGCTTCATAATTTTTCCCAAAACTTCATAGGTTGGACCAGATATTTCCTTTTCCAAGTTACCATCATATTTATTTTTCAACTCCTCGCTGAAAAATAGTGTACTCATTTTATATTCCATTCCATCATAATATTAAGTATAACTTACTCTGTGAATGGAAGTTCCACAGAGGTCTCATCTTCTTGGTTGAATAAAAACACTACAAAGTGGTATCTGGTTTGACCCTGCTTAATCGGAGGGTCCAAACTGACAACAAAGAACATTTGACGCCCATCTCTGTGTGGTAATATGAAAAGCCTGAGTACTGTTGAAATTGGGATTTTGTAGTCAAATGTTTTACCGTGAAGTTGGAAGAAGGATTGGTATAGTTTGATATCGTAACGACCACTGGAAAATAAATTGATAAGTTAATGATTTTTTTTTGGAAATGTATTTGTTTACCGAGGTGTGAGACAAGGTAGATCTCTGAATATAGCGATGGCATCCCCTGATATGCTGATAACGCTGGCTTTGGACATAACTCGTTCTTGGAATGCTTCAACAGGATCGGTGTCTCCAGCTAGTTCACTGGATGGGATGAAGAAGCGCATTTCCATAAGGCTGACTGGCGCATCATCGTTCTTTTGCAAAAGAGGGATTATGTTTAGCAAAATAAATAAAAATTATCTGTGGATTGAACAGTTGGTTTTCTAATAATATATTTACAAAGAAGATTTGGAATAGGGAGTTTGTTCAATTTTTAACAATGCAATACACCTATTTTTACTTTAATTTTATTCAATTATAAATAGGTATGTAACTAGTAATGTATGTTAATAAATACATGTGCATTTCAAGTATTGAGTAGTAAGTTATTAGTTTGTTCTAGCAAAAACAGGGAAAAATTATATGTAGTTAAAAGTATGGATAAATAATTATGAAACAGTCAGGTGCTAAACAAAGAATCATCTATCTATAATATGAAGATTTTAACTCTTTGATACTTACTTGATGAAATTCCATTGTAATTTCATTCTTGCCAGCAGTACACTGTGACACATAATTCAATGGCAACTCGAAAGCACTCTTCTCTCCAATATCATAGCTCAAAACCGACCCATTAAATTTGGCCGTACCCCAGTTCCATCCCTTGTAGCTCAATTCCTTTTCTAACATGTCGATTTTATAATTGCTTGAAAAAAACTTTGCGATTTTTTCCTTCTCCGACTCTCTGAAGCCCGCATATCTGTGCAACGTGCCGTTTTTGAGAAAGACTCTGATACCCCAAGTTCCAGCGAAGTTTTGAAAATTTACAGCCTCAAAGTCTGCCGATGGGATTTGTTCGACTTTCCCAGTTTTGCTGTTTTTAAAGATGATGTTCTGGTCAGTCATTTTGAGTTTTCCAGGGGCCTGAAAGGGAAAATATGGTCAAAAAGGGTAACGCTAGACAATCGAAAAAAAAAGGTTCTACCATAAATCCTTTTACTTCAGAAGATACATCTGAATACTCGAGGAAATCCATGTTGTTGGAATTACTAGCACTAAGGGCACCTAACTAATATTTGGGGCAACTATCGGTTTTGCTCGTTTGATCACAAAAATCACTGAATAAAACGGCTTTTCCAATTTTCGCGTTTTTCAACAAAAAACAACGACACAAACCTAACCTCACAAAGCGTCTGACTTTTGACACACATCGGGCAAAAATGCCGGGAAAACTTAACGATAGGTCTTGTCAATAGATGGCACTATAAAATTTCTGATAATTTTAAAAAGCTCATAGCGCTTTCGACTTTTACCTCAGGACTGCACCTGAATGAACGTTGCACTCGGCGAGATTCACGTGTCCGACTCCAGATAGCAATAAATAGAACTCGAACTCACTCAAATCTCACACGGCGCGCTCTTTCTTGGTCCGTCAAATTTGATGGATAAAAAAGAGTTTTTATCAAAACATTCAAAACAGTACGTTCGGCTATTGGATTATAATCGCTCTCAAAGCATTTCCGCAGAAATATGTGACGTCATCGCCCAGACGGTGAGCGGTCTGGGTCTGGGAGGTAGTAAAGCTGAAAACGTGATGAGCAATTTTCGACTTAACTGCTCCCAGAGCGCTCTGCTTCTGTGCGGAACGTCAGAGATCTCTGTGGGAGAGCTCCGAGACCGATTATAATCCAATAACCGAACATACTGTTTTGATCAAACTCTTTTGATCCATTAATTTGATAGAGCAAGAAAGAGCGCTCCGTGTGAGATTTGAGTTCTATGTTCAAATCGAACATGTGCAGGGATGCTATCACCACTATGAAAATTGTACCAGCAAGTAGGGAATAATTGTACTAGATTGGCGACATTGTGTACTAGCTGAAAGCGCAACAAATTTGAAATTTGAATACAAATGTATAAATAGCAGTGATTTTTTGAAACAGTTTCACCTTGATTGGCCATGCTGGTAATACATATAAATGCTACATTATATAATCGCAGTCCACCCAGTTTGCAGTCACAGCCGAGAGAGGTGTTCCAGTTTGCCCTCCTCTGCAGTAGCAGTTTCTTTTTGGCGTCACCGCGATGCGATTAACAATAATATGTCATTATTTGCATCACTTTGGCTTGAGTTCAGTCCGCGCTGCATCTAATCGGTGAAGCAGTGACAAAGTCACAGTTCGTGAAATCGCAACCCACCTCTAAAATTGAGTACTTGAAGTGCATCCTACTTTATCTTCTTCTTTGTTCCACTCATTTATAACCGCATTTGTTGTTTTTGCAAATGTATCCTACCTTATCTACTTCTTTGTCTTACTATTTTTGCTGAAAATACAATCAAATTAACATTAAAAATGATTTTTTTTTATTTGTTGGAAAATGAGGAAAAACATTCTATTTGAGATTGTAATTGTGGCAACGTTGTTTTCAATCAAGTAGGCCTTGTAACGTAATGTCATTTGCCACTTTTGACATCCGAGTGTTTTTATCCAGCTTTTCCTTGAATTTTCCGGTTTTTCAATCAAAAAAACTTGTTTAAAGTACGAGGCTTTGAGTTTCCTTCATTTTTTGACAAAAATTTCCAGTTTTCCAACGAGGTTAGTGTCCAGAACCTTGGTTTGATCAAGTAGACTTTAGAATATTGGTTTTCCATTGAATTTTCCACTTTTCCAAGGCTTCTTCAATCGGAAAAAGACTGTTTTGGGTGCAGGGCTTTAAATTTGCTTCAATTTTTCACCATAAACTTCCATTTTTAGACTAAAATAGTACCCTACTTTACCTCTCTCTTTGTCATACTCATTACCAAATTATTAGTCGGCCATTTTGAAGTGTCGTGTTTAGATTTTTATCCAGGTTCTCCTCGAATTTTCCACTTCTTCAGGGTTTTTTCAAACTAGTTTAAAGTACGAGGCTTCGAGTTTTTTCTGCTAGAAATTTCCAGTTTTAGATCCATTTATTTACGGTCAAAAGGTAAGTGAAAAAAAAATTATTGAAAAGCAAGTTTTTGAGGACTTATTTGAGGCATTTCTAATTTTAAAATCGTTATTAGGTAATTAATTATTTAACGGGTTTTTAATTATTAGATTACAAGTAGAATTTGATTTTAAATATTTTTCTTGGAAGTTTTGTGACGTGGCAACATCGTTTGTAGCCAACTTCAAGTAGACCTTGTAATAAAAGTCATTTGCCATTTTTGACAGTCAGCCATTTTCAATTGTCGAGTTTATATTTTTTTCCAGTTTTTCCTCAAATTTTCCGCTTTTCCAGGCCGTTTTCAATCGGAAAAATCGTTTTAAAGTTCGAGGCTTTGAGTTTTCTCTATTTTCCACCAAAAATTTCCAGTTTCCCAATGGAGTAATAAGTGACCAAAAGTTTGATTTTTCAAGTAGGCTTTGGAATGTTGGTTTTCCATTGAATTTTCTACTTTTCCATTTTTCAATTAGAAAAAGATGATTTTAAAAACGGTGATTTGAATTTGCTTCATTTTTCCACCAAAAACTTCAATTTTTAGATTTAAGTTTTTCCTACTTCATCTCCCTCTTTGTCTTTCTTACTATTAAGCAGGCCTTGGAATATCATTTTTATTGAAACTTATTAAAAATAAGATTCCAATGCATTATTTTCGGAATTTATCATTTTATAAACATTATTAATTAATTAATTATTTAAACAAAAAACATTAAAATGTAATTGAGATGTGGCAACGTCGCACAATGTCATTTCTCAGTTTTTACAGTTGGTAATTTTTGAATGTTTTTATCAAGTTTTTCCTCGAATTTTCCGCTTTTTCAGGCCGTTTTCAATTGGAAAAACCGATTGAGAAGACGATGCTTTGAATTTCCTTCATTTTTTACCAAAAATTTCCGGTTTTCCAATGGGGTAAGTGACAAAAACTCAAGTTTTATTAAGTAGACTCTGGATTGTAATTTTTACGGGATTTTCTTTGGATTTTTCGCTTTTCCAGTGCTTTTTCGATCGGAAAAACCGATTTTAAGTACGAGGCTTTGAGTTTTCTTCATTTTCATCCATAAATTTCTAGTTTCAAATACTAAAATTAGGGGTAAATAACGTTTTTCTGCCTCTTTTAAAAAAAGTGAGCACTTGAATTACATCCTACTTTATCTCTTTCCTTGTCCTACTCAGAGGGTTTTAGCACACTAAATTTAGCTGAAAAAACGAGGCTCTGCATCAAAAAAAGGGGGCTTTCAAAACAAAAAACAAACAAACGTCATTGTCGTCATTTTAAATTAATTGTCAAAAATTACCAGGCCTACTTTGACTTTGACATGTCAAATTTTTTGACGTTTGCGTCAGGGTTGCTGCAACTTTTGTGCCAGGGTTGCTACATTTTTTCGTCCCTGTAGGCCGATTTTTCAATATCGAGTCACCTCCGGGTTGGTTTTAACTAGAAGTGGCCAACCTGCGATTTTACTGGAACTGTGACAAGACGTGACTGCTCTAGTCGTGTTACAATAACAAATAACAGTGACTTGACTGGCCTTGCTGGTAATACATGGTACATTACATAATCGCAGTTCGCTCAGTTCACAGTCACGGCCGAGAAGAATGTTCCAGTCTGTCCTCTGCAGTGGCATTTTCTGTTTTGCGTCACCGCAATGTGATTTATTATAATATTTCATTATTTGCATCACTTTAAGTTGAGTTTAGTCCGCACTGTATCGGTTAGAGATCGAAGTGACCGTGACAAAATGTCACTGCTACTTGAGTGGGACCGGAGCAGGCCGTGACTGTGACAGACAAGTAGCAGTGACAAAGTCACAGTTCGTAAAATCGCAACTCACCTCTAGTTTCTCAATAGCGAGTCACCTGCGGGTTGGTTTTAACTCCAGGGTAGACGTGTCTAGTTGCAATGTTTACCTAGAGTTATCGTTAACCCTGGGGGTGACTCGCCATTTGGAAACCGGCCCTGAATGATGGAAATAAATAAATTTCTACATACATATTTAGTTATAAATCGACTACCGATTACCATGATCCGCTGAATAATCGAATAACCACCGATTCATGACACACGTCAAGCGTCAAGTCACAGAATAAAAAACTCCCCAAATTCTGGGATACTCGAGGATCAAGAACACTAATTTGTTCTGTGAGAACAGACCGAAAATCACCTTTTCTATATTTAAAATCGACGAAAAAATTAGCTCACTAGCATAGCCTGAATCGCAAGCATTCGATCAAGGTCTGCGGGTGACGTCATTGCTAATTTCTGCTGATAGTGATGTCTTTCGCAGGCCCAGAATTTGATGGAAAGGGAGTTAGAGAAGTATGACACAATTGACACATCACATAACCCAGCATAATCAGATTATGCTTGAATATTCTCGCCAAAAATTGCCTCATATTCGTAACGCCAGTTTCTTGTTTGGCTTTAGCCACACCGTAATGGGACCGGAACGTGAAACCCAACCCACAAGTACAGTGACTCTATAACCCACAGTGGCGACAATTGCTGTCTCATTTTTGATTGGTTCTAAAATCCCATATATTTACATTGAAAACACCACCATCTTGTTCCCAACCCCTTGTTACTTTTAATTTAAATATGAATATATGGGATTTAGGTGAACATCCATCATAAATCATGGAAAACAACGTATTTGATGGACATAATAATGGTCATAAAATACGTCGATTTCAATTTTTTATGATAGATGTCCATTTAAATCATATATATTAATATTTAAAAGTAACAAGAGGTTGGGAACAAGATGGCGGCGGGACCTCTATTGTCGCCACTGTATGTAAAGGTTTATTTAGCCACTGTACCCACAAGTAGAGAGTGGAGCGCAGAACTCGGGTACGGTATGGAGTGAAGAGCGACACTCGACTCGTAATCCTAATTGTACTAGATTTATGAGAGAGGTACTAGCGTACTAGGTGAAACGTGATTGTGCTAGCTAGATCTAATACAATTGTACAAGAAATAGCATCCCTGAACATGTGTATCTCGCTCCGTTTTAGGCCGAACATGTGAATCCGCTTCGGATCGCTTTTTGAATAATCGGGTGCAGTTTTGAGGTAAAAGTCAAAAGTGCTAATAGAATTACAAATAAAAAAAATGCTTGTGGTGTCTGATGGAGCAAGAAGAAAAAAAAAATAAATAAGTTAAATAGAGATAGGGAAAATAAATTATATAACATCAGAGAGCTGGGCTGGG